AGGTTCGCAGATGCCAGGCTGGAAATGTAACTGGGATCATTCGAGCTGACAAAGTGGCTGGCTCATAGGTCTTTTCTCTAGAATATTCTTGGGAATTTTGACTGGTACAATGCCTGTCCAGGGTAGCTCAACCTGGAGATCAGGCAAAATGGGAAGCCTGTTGGCATCTGTAACTTTCTCTGCACAAACAGCCCTGTTGCTTCGTTCAAAGTGTTTTAAACTTCTTTATTTTGTGTTTTTGGTTTTGTTTTTGTTTTGAAAATCCAGGCCTTTTTTGATTTACTCTTAATTTATTTTAGATTATTCTAGCTCATCCTTTTAAATTTTCAGCTCCTAAATGCTTTATTGTTTCACTGTCTCATTTTTAGATTTCTGTTTACCTCATTTTAAGCAGTTTAGCAATTTACATCAATATTTTATCATTTTAATTTCTATTTTTTATGGTTTTAAGTGTACCTTTTTAAAAGCCTCACTGTTGTCTTTATTTTTATTGGGGTCATTATTTTTCAGCTTTAATTTTTTCAATTACTTTTTTACTTCAATATTTTTGAAATCGAGATATTGTTAAAGCTATATTAATTTTTTTATTTCTTTCACTTATTAAATAACAGGTAAATATTAGGAGCAAAATTTTGAAACTTCTCTCTTAAAGCAAAGATAATTCAGGGTGTTTTTTCCTACTCTAGTTTGCCCTGAAAGGAAACCACTTTTGATTTTATCCATTTAAAAACAAAACATAGGCGCACCTGGGTGGTTCAGTTGATTAAGTGTTTGATTCTTGATTTCTGCTCAGGTCATGATCTCAGGGTTGTAAGGTCCAGCCCCGCAGTGCCCGGCTCCACGCTCAGCGTGGAGTAAAAAAACAAAAAACAAAAACCAGAAAAGAGAACTCCGGCCCATCTGGAGCCCTGGAGACCCAAAAGGATAGCATTCCTTTCTACTAGATCACAACTCCTCCCCTCCACAAAGAAGTCTTCAGAAACAGGACCGTGGGTCAACTTCATAAAGTAGAACTGCACATTCATTCAAATGGGCTTTGGTTACTACAAAATTAGTCAGCTAAAATATTTGGGACGCCTGGATGGCTCAGTTAAGCGTCTGCCTTGCCTCGACTCAGGTCATGATCCCACGGTCCAGGGATCCAGTCCCGCATCAAGCTCCCTGCTCAGAGGGGAGCCTGCTTCTCCCTCTGCCTCTGCCCCTCCTCCCCCTGCTCATGCTCGCTCTCTCTCTTTCTGACAAATAAAATCTTCTTTAAAAAAATGTTTACATAGCAGGCATGAGACCGGTGTCCGTAGAAAGGCCCACTTTCAAGGTTGGCCTTGGCTTCCACCTGGAAACAGCTTCCTGCTCTGACATCAGACTTCCCCTAATGATAATGGCGGTTCGCTGTGCCCAGACCGTGCAAACGCTAAGGTTTTTGCAGAACTCCGGCTTTCCTTCGGGAATTCTGGAGTTTGGGTTCATGCTGATCAGAGGGTGCTCACGTGACCAGCCCCCGGTAAGAACCCTGGTGTCTAGTCTCTAATGAGCTTCCCAGGTAGACAACACTTCACTTGTGTTGTCACCACGGGCTGGGGGAGAGTTAAGCACCATCCTGTGTGACTCCACTGGGAGAGGACCCTTGGAAGCTTGCACCTGGGGTCCTCCAGACCTTACTCCACACACCTCTTCCCTTCTGCTAATTTTGCTGTTTCCTTTCACTGTAATAAATTTTAGCTGTGAGTGCAGCCATATGCTGAGTCATGTGAGTCCTAACAAATCCTAGAACGGGGGGGGGGGGGGAGCGGGGGCGGTGACCTTGGGGACTCGGACAAACAGGGCTTCTCCTAGCTGCAGAATGGTTGATAATTAGTTCCTGACTTAGTCATTGACGTTTAGCTCTCTTCTAGACCAGATGGGTGAACTTTTCCTCTTTTGGATTACTCTAGAAATTAACAGCCCCAACCACCTGTCACTTCAGTAGGAATCTCGCTCGGGGCCAGGGCCCCTCACTCAGGCTCTGGCTCAGTGTCTGAGAAGAAGTCTGAGGCTGGTGCTCGGTGCTGATGGGACCTGAGATGCTCTGAGCGCAGGGGGTCTCTGCTCTGTTTTATGGTTTCTGAGGTGCTGTCATTGACGTGGTCCACTGGCCATGACTCCATGGTCATTGAAGGCATGTGATCTAAGTGATAAATAAGGTACTAACTCAGCCTCAAGCAGCAGGAAAATAAATCTCGGGCTGGCTCTTGTACTTGTGAAGGAAATAGGTGTAAAGAATGGCCAAGGGAGAGAAGAAGTGAATATTGTATATTTTCTCAGATCAGAAAAAACTAGGCCTATCTAAAACCCTCCTGGTCACAGTCAGCATGTGTCATGTTATTTACAACCCAAGCTATAGGAGAAGCTAATTGATTACATCTTTCTAGAATTGAAAAAAACTGCCTGGAACTTGCCTCTTGGGGCATGGTATCTGTCTCAGAATATGCAGCGTGGTGGGAAAAGTCACTCTGCCGGCAAGAAACCTAGATTTTTAAAAATGGTGTCATTTCCTCCAGAGTCTTACTCTATTTTTTTAAGACAAGAACAGATTGGCTCCTTTAATCTCAAATCTCTAGGACCCCCATATCTTCCAGGTTTTATTTCAGTACAAAAAAACATGTTATACTTCTCAGCTTCATCTCCATTAGCTCTCAGTAAAGGCCAGATGTACACTAGATAACTGATAGATAGATACTTATATAGACTATCATTATACTATTCTGATCTCTGATTTCAATTTATCTTTTCAACTTTCTATTCTATGTACCTGACAATCATTTTTGGAGATCTGGGTGTCAAAATTGACAATCTCACTTGGAGATAATCTCTTCTCTGAAAACATTTTTAAACCACTTTATTGGAGCATGACTGACATCCAAAAAGCTGTGCAGATTTAATGTATACAACTTGATGGGTTTGGAAGTAAGTACACCTCCATGAAACCACTACCACGATCCAGGCCATAAACTTATCCATCACCTCCAAAAATTTCCTCCCATCCTCTTATAATAATTGTCATCAATATTATTTTGTGGCAAAAGCACTTAAGCTAAGATCTACCCTCTTAGCAAATTAGCCAAAGAGTACAAAGTCTCAGTTATATGAGTACATCCTAGAGATCTACTGTACAGCATAGAGCTTATAGTTAATAATCACATATTGTACTATTCTTAACATTTTAAGGAAAATAAATCCCAATAAGGAGTCCTGGAGCTGACTGAAGGTGAGCATTTAGTGTAACTTTGCCCAACCTAGAAGGAGAGGACCAATATCCTGTGACATCTGAGCACGCTATTCGTCTCAGCTTTAAGTCCCAGCATCGGTTGCCTCAAAAGTTGGTGTCCAAAGCCCCTTCTTGCTCCTCTATGGTACACCGGGTCCATTCTTTGAGGCCAGCTTAAATCCTTTTGGAAGGGAGCCATAATATAAATAAACAAAATACATTTGATAGACCATTACCCCTGAATCTGAAGTTTAACGTCAATGTAAAATTTGAAGCTGGAGTCATTTCTACAGTTACTACCCTGAACTCATTTTTCACTAGCAGACCACCTTTCAAAACAGCTTCGGTCCACTTGATTTGAACCAAAGGAGAAATAGCAAGTGGTGACGCGAATCATACCTATTTTGGTGGCCTGCTGGCTAAAGCAAGGTCTGGCGAGTGAAAAGGTCAGTTAACTTATGTTTGTCCATTTAAAACCAGTTCCAAATAATTGTATGCTGCCTTAAAAGTAGTCTTTTGATAGAAGTTTCTACTTGTCCTCACCGAAAAAGTTTAAAATTCCCTAGAAAAGCTGTTTTTCTCTTTCTCGATATGATTATCATAATTCAATCCATAGAGAAGGAACGGGTGGGAATATATTAACATTTCAATCCAGCTCAAAATAACTTAATACAATTATTTTCTACTTTCTGTGCCACGGGTATCCCTACTGTGTGACCTATGGGTAAATAAGGGAGTTTTTAATCGTAGCTGTAAATTCGATCTTGCCATAATCGGAAATTTTCCTGATTAATCTTCAGACGAGACAGGCAGTGACCGAATTTTTGCTTTGCTGTGTGTTGCGGAGAGGACTGCAAGGCTTCTGCAGGCACCGTTAACTCTGCCTTCAAAGGGCACTTTGGGAAAGAGCACAGACTTCGTCTAGAACATGAACCACCACAGAGTACCCTTCAGCTGACAGGCCAACAACTGGTTTAAGCAGAAACTTTTTAATATATTGATGGCTTAACAAATATCACAAAGGAAAGCATACGAGTGCAAACAATTTTGAAAATACATTTCTGTGGCTCATCTTTGGTAAACTCGTGTTCCTGCTGTTGGCTGCACTGCAGTTGAGTATAGGTATTGGGTAGCCGCTCTGGGTGTGCCTGGAGGTTTATAAATCAATTGACATCCACAACAAAATCATGTGAACTCCATGACGGCTAGGTGAGAAATTTGTTGGAACTAATTAACTGATTCGTTTTACTACTTGTTTTTTTTTTTTTTTTTGCATAAGAACTAAATCTGAAGAAGATTCTCAGCCCTTCTACACAGGTTCATGAATTCATAAGAACTCTTCTTCCCTGAGATGTGGTCCCATGACAACCTCCGTACCCCAACTGTCTCATGCAGTGTTGTGAGAACTGCTAATTGGCAGATTTTCAACTCAAGAAGTGAAACTACCTTCCCACTCACATCCTTTCCTATGTGTTCTGAAAAAAAAAAAAAATTTGAAAGACAAAAGAGAAGGGCAAAACCTCAGAAACATCATAACCCAGAGAGATCCAGTTTAATGCATAAAATATCTTCAATAAATAGTGCAGCTTCTTCTTCTCAAGCTGGCTCTTCAGGGCATAGATCCAAGTGGTGAGGTTTGTTCCATCTGATTTATTTCTATAATTTCTCCTTTAAGAAAAATGGCCATTTTTCTCAAAAGGCACTGATGACCAGTATATCATCCAGTAGTCATAAATGACTAAGCAGGACCCAAAACTCTGATCACAATCAGTGTTTTATTAACAGAAAGGAAAATTAGAAAGACAGCAAGAGCCTGACATTATCTGACTTTTGTGAAAGGCAAAGGATAAGATTTCTTTGTGCTCATTGTCATATACTTCAAAAAATGGCCACAACCTGGAAAGTCAATAAAAGATAAACTAAAAATCCAGAATGGAGAGCTTGAGACACTTGAAAGGCACCAACCAGATCGGATCAAATAGAAAATTACAAAGAGACTTCAGTACATTGATAACTCAAAATCCAAATTATAAAAGTCAGGGAAAACATAAATTGCATAAAACTTTTATTATTAATTAGCAGTGTATTCTTCTACACTTTAAAATAGAACAAAATATCTTTTGGAAGGTAAACTATTCATAACAAAATACATGTCAACAATTTTTATTTTTGGAGTAGAATTACTTTGCTATATACTTTCTATATTATATACATACACTTCTTGGTTTGTCTAAGTATCTACATGTGTACAAATAATTTTAAGACATACACATGTAGATACACATGACTAATATACACACATAATTATGGAAAATTTATAGTAGTCAATTTTACAATCATTTTAATAGCTGCACACAAATTAGTGTTCACAGAACTAAAACTGTCAACATGGTTCCCTTTTCCCCACTTCTCGAACATCGTCTGAATTACTTTTCACTGATAAATTTTAAAAATACTATCATCTTCCTATACAACTAACCAATCTTTTTTTTTTTCACAACTCATAATAAAATATTTTACTCTTTTGGCTTTAGAAAAGGCATACAATTTAATTCCACTTATTTTAATTTTTGACTCCTAAAACATACAATTCATTTTTTCCCGTCAGCTTTAGTGCAATTATTTGGTACTGCGGTTACTGAAGTTTAAGTCATGAACCTGAGCCAGTAATTCAAATGACTTTTTAAAATGGAAAACACCAACGCGCTGTTTTGCTGAAGCATGTGTAACAGCCTCATGTTACCCCCTCCTAATAAATAGATTATAAAGAACTCAGTGGTGGCGAGCAGAGCACTTCATATGGATCCATTTAACTGTGTGAGGAGTCCGTTCTAAGGCAGCATGGAAAACAATCAGCATCAAAGGCTCCCCAACTGCCCAGAGAAACGAAGCCTCCAGGCTTCTGAGGCCGAAACACAAGATTACACTTAGTAAATGGGCCGTGAGTACCTGTAAGGAGTCCCTTGGTTTTCATGTCGGGCTTCTGATACCCTAGCTTGTGTGTTAGGTGTTTGTCATCTGTTTCAAACATATCTCCTTTGATACAGAGACCTACTTAGCAGCATCTTTTTTTTTTTTTTTTTCAGTTTTCTCTCTTCATTGATTTAAAACAGGTGCTGGACCATGTGTGGTTACAGCCGACAACCTCGTACCAAACGCAGAATGTCCTAACTGGGGCCAGGGCTCTTGTGAGAGGAGGAAAGAAATAAAGGCATTTGGAATGTTGAATCATTTCACACAGAGAAAAGCTGTGTTTTCAGGAGAAACATTAGCGAATTCTGATCTCCAACTGGATGTTGAATTGTGTTAAAGCCCCACAAGGATGCAAAATGAAATGGCTGGCAACAAAAACAAAGGGAAAGGAAATGGCCTAAAGAAGCCATATCAACCGATCATCCTCCTCTCACCAGAGATCAGCTTGGATAAACTCATCATATTCGACTGACTTCCCAAAAGAATGAACTGATGTGCCACGTTCACAGTGGGAACATAAAAATCACTTTCTAAAAACTCTCTCCCTTATTTTTTCTTCATAAAGAGGAATTATGTATTCATTGTAGACAAAACCATACCAAACAAATTCAAAATACAAATTTTTGGTAGCAAACAGCAAGAAAAATCTAAGTCAAAATATAGTCTAGTTTTTACATAATTTTATATATTTATAAATTTATCAAAATAGTCTCTTAAAGTTCACAATACATACATAATGTAACACTGTACATGTAAATGTAATAACAAATGTATTACCGAAATACATTAAAAATAACCTTTCGAGATACCAAATTCAACATTAAAACTGTCTTAAAAAGTGTTAACAGCTCCATAAACCCACTTTCAGTGCATTTAGAGTAGTCATTAGCCAGAGTTTTCTGGTTTCAAGTCTCTTGAAGGTCTTATGTTAGTGCTTTCCTTAATTTAAGGTAAGAAGGCAGAAAGACTCCTCCGGCAATCAGCTGCTCTCTCGCTACATTGCTCAGGCAGACGAAGACCTTGTGTCTAAGAGTGGAGTGCTTTCACTGGAGTGGCGGGGCCTTAGTAATGAACATATTCAGACTGAAGGGACTGTGTGGGGGAGAGACAGAAACCCAGGTTAAAGTCCATTACGTACAAAACTGGTAGTACACCCTGCAGCTTCCTCCTTCAACACAAGGCAGTTTGCGTCTATAATATAAAAGATCAATGAAATAAACTAAGAAGAAGATAGAAAAGGATGAAAAAAACAAAGCATTTGCTAAGAATAAGATACTCGATAATGTGACGTGATTGCAAGAAAACCGTATTTTAAAAGGCTTACGATTTATTCGTAGCAGTTAAAAATTAAGTGCTATTTGCAAATTGGCAGGTGGCACCAAACTCACTTCTAAGCTTTTGTGCAATAATACGGAGTTTGACTCAAAAATATTAAACGACATCTGTAACTAAATTGAAATTTATTAGAATATACTTTAAGATTATACATACTTTATTGAATCTAATGCATAACAAACAGTGCTTCTAAAGCAGTAGAATTAGCCGTCATTTAAATAAATTCCTTAAGAATGCTTGAATTTAATAAATAGCTTACAAATCCTTTCCATTTAGGGGGACACAGAGCACTACCAGCTTTGAAATGTAAGCTTAAGACCCAAAAGTACTTGTGCAGAAGAATCTTGCAGTCATAACATAATAAATAGTGGGCAGCTTTTGAGAAAAGGAAACAATGCAAATCCCTCCCACATCATATTAGATAATCACATATAAAAGGAACATGATGGGGATATGTAATCAAGAATGCACTGATAATCGGGGTGCCTGGGTGGCTCAGTCGTTAAGCGTCTGCCTTCGGCTCAGGTCATGATCCCAGGGTCCTGGGATCGAGCCACATCGGGATCCCTGCTCAGTGGGAAGCCTGCTTCTCCCTCTCCCGCTCCCCCTGCTTCTGTTCCCTCTCTCACTGTGTCTCTCTCTGTCAAATAAATAAATAAAATCTTAAAAAAAAAAAAAAAAGAATGCACTGATAATAGATATTAACCAGGAAAAGATAAAGATAGGTCAAAAAAATTTGCCAGATACTTATTTTTGAGTAGCAAAAAACAACTAAAAAGAAGGAACACAAATCAGTCTGAACATTAACAAATTCTTTTGCACAATTCTTCTAATCTAACACCTTAAACAACAAAGTTTACTTGATTTGCTACCAAATGTCCTTTTCTCCTCCCCCAATAATTCTTTTTCAAACTGATCTGCAGCATGGTATTCATAGGTCTTCTTAATTCTGAGACTAGTCCATTTTGTTGAGGGTAGGCATATCAGTAAAAAGAATCTGTCTGTTGGGCAAATCATCCACAAAAGGATTCAAACTCTCTTTGTTCATTCTCATTGCTTCACAATCCCTGTGAATTTTATACCCTATGGACAGCCATTTACTAAGTATCTATCAACGCTGTGAGTCCAAAAGTTACCAGCCTGCCCTCAAACGGCAAAAGCCCACACTGTCACACAAACATAAAGTGAAAAGGCAAAGGTGTCCACGTTCAATAATGTGCATAGGGTGAGAGTAACACTGTACACAAGCAAAGCATGAGGCAAAGAGTGGGAAGGGAAGGCTCAGGGAGAAGAGTGGTTCCTGAGCCTGCAAGTTTCCAAGAAGAGGTGAAATGTGAAGAGGGAGAATGGAAAGGTTAGGAAGAATGAAAAAGGTTGTCAAGTTGACTTTCTCACCACAGAATGTGGTTTATGCTAAGCCTTCAGAACAGGGGAGGCGATCAAGAAGTAGGGCACCATCATACAAGTGTACCTGAACTCACGGAGAGCCTAAGAGGTAAGATTGAGAAAGTCCAGTGAAACTGGTCTAATGCCTTGAAGTCCATTTAACGTGTAGGCCCATCAGTTGCCATCCTAACAATGAGAGCTTCAAAATGGACTATGACTCTTCTAGCTGCTTTTCCCCAGTTTCTTCTGAAGTCTAGCAAGTAGGCAGGCAGGGCAGGGCCAGAAGATCTCCCCAGCGGCAAGACTGCGAAGCGTGCATGCTATATGCTGGCCAATGCTTTCATAGGAATAGTTAAATATTGCTTTTGTTCCAATTAGAAAAGTCATTCGTGTTTCCACTAACAGAAATTATGTAGCTCCTCAGATTGCTGTTAATTTAGAACAGAGTTGTTTTTGCAAGCACTCCTAAAGTTCCAATAATTCTCAATAGACGGAGATAGAGCAAATGAACAGACACCAGGCAAGTGGCCTTTGCTAAACTTTCTTCCAGGTAAAGTATTTTTAATATGCATCAATATATAGGGGGTAAATATGTGTAGGTACTTATCTTTATTTATTTTATGGAATCACGATGCCCCTGGAAAACTAATGGAAAACATTAGTCTAGAATAATTTTAGGGATGTCTATCATTCATATGAAGTATATATTCATATTTGCCTTCTGGCAGAAGACTTTCCTTACACACAGCAGAGGTCGTAAACTCTAGCTGCTGTTTAATCCAACCTACAGATAGAGTTTAGCACAATCCTACTGCCTTCCTTTGCCACCCACCCAGGGTCCTCCGTAAACAAATAAAGAGATGATTTGGCTGAAGAATGGACCTTCTGTCATGCTGGTTAATTAATTCAACAAATAATTATTAAACAGCAATAGTATACATTGGCACTGGGGGATAAAATAAGATACCAAAGTTCTTCCATGATTTCTTTATGTAGTATAAAGAACGTTAAAGGAAATAATAGATCGGTAAAAAGGGCTTAACAAATTATTCTGACATCAGCATTTGGTAACAAATTAACTCCCTTTCATTTTCAATCTAAAACAAAAATCTTAATGGAAGTGGAGTTCGGGAAGAAAGAGAATTGTTAAAGACTAGGAGACATATTTAGTCAAAAAAAACCATAACTAATATTTCAAGGCCTTTTCACTGGGGAAGCAATCAGGTGGGATGAAAGTGACATTTAGATTCCATATGCTTCCATGATGGGGCTGTACCAAGGGCTTCTGGCTCATCTGTTACCTGTATCCTAAAGTTACTAATAAATATCCCAGAAAACATAATAACCATTATTAGCATTACCAAATTTTAATAGCAAAGATGCAAATGTATTTGTACTCCACAAACAATATCATTCTTGCTATTGATTTTGTTATTCAGAAAACAGATTAAAGTACCACGATCCAGAATTCTTAATAAATTAGATATATGACTGGAGAGGTCAATTATTCTGTGATAGATACTTATTGAGCACTACTATATACCAGGCACAGTTCTAAACATTTTATATGTATTAACTCATTAAATGCTCCAGGCAACTCATTTTACAGATGAGGAGATTGAGGCACGGAGCGGTGAAGTACTTTGCCCAAGGTCACACAACGAGAAGGTCGTGGAGCTCAGCAGTGTGGCTTAAAGCCCAAACCCTTAGCCACCATCGTATAAGGCCGCAAGACGCTTCTAGCTTTTGTCCTGTGATCACTGCATAGTCAACTAGACATTGTCTATCACTCTAACACAGACAAATAATAACTGGAAGCAGGGTATGATCCTGAGTGAGAAAAGAAATATTAAATTACAAAAAGAGAAAGCAATATTTATTATACTATAAAGGAGACACAGACATTTTAAAATGAAAAATCCTTTTAGGACTGAATCAAAGTAATTTTCAGGAATATGCTAAAAAAATTTTTTCCTTATAAGAATACCCACGCTTAAGTACTCTGATTAAAGTTTTAATTCTGCTTGGCCAATGTTTATCACTACCATAAGAATTAATACCTAATGCATCTGAAATTTTTACAAAATTTCAAGAATTACAATGGATATGGTTACGAAGGAAGTGGCACCTGAGGTGTAAATATTATTTTACAAGGTAGTGCTTATTTATATATATATAATTTCTCAAACAGAATATTCAAGTTCCTGAGCCAGTAAGTTCAACAGGGTTATAGTGAGCTAAGACCAGACCAAGTTTATCATGAATATATGGTGTTTTTATAGTGTGAATACCATAAAACTAATAATACAGCAATATTCAGCCTGCAAAATAAGGATAAAATTACTTTACACCTGCAGCCCCCAAAATTTTTATGTCAAAATATAAGCTTCTATCAAGAAGTCTTGTTCCCTGAAAGCAGTTAGATTTGACATAAAACAAAGTGTTAGGTAAGGAGATCAAGACAATTTGTTCTGTTCTGGAAATTTGCTACTAATCTGTTTTGGCAGATGTAGGTAGTGACTTTAAAAATTTAGCTATTCTGGAGGTGTTTCTTTTTTAAACAGCCCAGTTACCTAATCATGGTAGAAAAATGTCTAATAATTATAGATATAAATACTGTTAAGATGGTTAATAAATACAATTATACATTGACTATCAAAAACAGCAAGCTGTAAAGAATAATGAAAAATTTAGGTCTTTGCCAGCAAATGAATGAAATGACGTCTTAATGTTCAAATAACTTAGACCAAAGGCCTTATGACCTGGAATGTTAGTTTCCTACTCAGTCAAAATCCTGACTCACAATCACCATGTGCTTTTGCCACACTGACTTTTTGTCTCCTGCATTTCCCCATCTTGCCAAGGCCCTTAAGGAAGAAAAAGCAGTCTACTTAGCTACCCTTGGTTTGAGTTCTAACTACAGAGGCAAAAAGCACCTTAAAAAGTGGTTTGTTTTCATGGCATAGATAATTAAAAGAAAAAAAATACGTTTGGTAATATGGTATCCTATTTTATATATAACTCCAGTATTGAATTTTAATGAACAAATGGGGAAAAAATAAACACTGAGGAATAATACGTTTATCTAAAATTGGCTCTATACTCTGGAGTCTTTTAGGACTTTGCGATAAAGAGTTTCCAGTTTTTGTATTGCTTGTAAGTTACCAGCACACAGAATGTGTGCACTGATTCCCATTTCCACAAATGTGGTTTCAGAATACTGAAAGTTTTTGCCTTTGCTAACATAACTTCTCCAGTAACACTAGTAGAGAAACACAGCTGGAGAAGGTTTTATTGGCATCATATTAACACAAAAAGGCTAAGGTTTTTTGATAAAATCAGCTTTGAAGGAGGTGTAAACATTTTTCTATAGTGTTCTCAAAGCATTACAGGGACCCCAAGATTTAACAAGCCAATTTCAGTTAATTAAAATGCTATAGAAAATATTCTTCCACCTTCCTACCTAACTTTTAATAGATTCTTTTTTTCTGAGTGAACTTAATCTGTGCTTTTCAACAATCACAAAAAGCTCAATTGTTAGATGACAGATTGTTGTTGACACTCTCCTTGACTCAGCCAACCATTTGTGTTTCCAGTTCATTTGAACGCCAAAATTTTATCGATGCAAGCTCGGTTAACATGTATTGTCTCTTATTTTAGTAAAGCCACATTTCTAGAAGAGAAAAAAAAAACCACATCTCAGATGACTGTATATTAAAGCTAAAGCTGAAAATCTGTTTTCTGTTTTGTAAGTGCTTCCTGTGATAATGGGCTCCTAAGCACCGTAGCTCTTTGCTTCGCATTCATGGTCCTAGATATATTATTCAATTTTTAGTTCAATAAATATTTATTAGGCACTCACTATACTTTGGAGCCTGAGACAACAAAGATGCCTCCAAGAAGCTCACAAGCCAGCAGAGGGAAGAGAGAATCACATACAGCTTAAGTAGAATATGAGAGCAATGAGAAGGTGGCAGGGGGCATGTGAACAAAGTGCCACGAGAGTCGAGAAGGATGGGTCACAAATGTTGCATCAAAAAGATAACTGTGGAGCCAGGCCAAGAATGATAAAACCACGCAGAGACGAGGACAAGCAGAGCGTGTGCTAGGGTCCCGGCACGAGGCAGGCACTCCTGCAGAGTGCCCGTCAACATGCCAGGCGGAGATGCTGGAGAGACATGGGGGCGGGGGGTGGGGGGAGGCACGCGGTCTGTCGGGGAAGGGCCCTGAGTGGCAAGCCACGGGATCCAGACGGGACCCCACAGGCACAGCAGAGACAACGAACAATTCGGAACACAGGGACAGTTTAATCTGCTGTGTCTTACAAATCTAACACTGGCAGCAGTATAGACAAAAGATTAAAGTCGAGAGACCCTTAAGGCAGGAAGCAAATTTAAAGGGCTATTCCCATAGTCCATGAAGACCTCAATTAGGGCAACAGTGATGAGAATGGAAGAACAAAAACCAGACATCTCAGAGGAATGGCTGATGGGACCGAGTGCCTGGATGTGCAGAGGGAAAGGCAGGAGTAGTGTCAGAGGATTCCAGATTTCTAGCTTGGATGACAGTTACCAAGGCAGGAGATGAAAGGAGGAGCAGGCGACTGAAGGAGCGTGTATTCTGTCCCAGGTAATGCCCATAAAAAGTTGGACATGTAGATCCAATGCCCACAAGATGCTTACCCAGACACCGAAGTAGGCCAAGGTCAGAGCCTTGGGAAAAATCATGAAGGGGCGGGCAGAGGAAGACAGACAGGTAACAGTTTAAAGGGGAGGGAGGAAAATAAATGGGAAGAGAGCATTCTAAAATACAAAGGAGACAAAAAATAATAGACAAAATGGTGGCTGACATTGTCAAATGCTGCAGAAAGACTAAGAAGGAGGAGATCATCTGATCTGGCCTTAAAGAAGTCAAGGGCAGCCTGTGGGAGACTCTCACCAGAATAGGGGAGGGGGTCGCCTCTCTTGGCCCAGGTTTGGCCATAAAGGAGACATTGTGGGCATCTGGGTGGCTCAGTCAGTTAAGCATCTGTCTTTGGCTCAGGGCTTGATCCCAGGGTGCTGGGATGGAGCCCCATGTGGCGCTCCCTGCTCAGTGGGGAGCCTGCTTCTCCCTCTCCCTCTGCCCCTCCCCCTGCTTGTGCTCTCTAGCTCTCTGTCAAATAAATAAAATCTTATTTAAAAAAAAAAAGGAGACATTGTGAGAAGTGACAGGACTGAGGGAAGTGATTGGCAAGACCACTCTGACCAATTCGGATGTACCTGTTTGCAGGTGAGGAGACAGGCAAATGGAGGGTAAGAGACTGAAGACATAAAGGAGGAAGGAGCTGGATGGGGAAACTCCCTAGGACTGTTCAGAAAGAACAGTACAGGTGAGTGGAGTTACCATGGGAAAATAGTAATGATTCTTGTAATCTAAAAGGGAAGAAAAAAAAAAAAAGGACAAGTCAGATGTAGGTACACTTTGAGGTAGAGAAGAGGACAGTTAAGGGAAATCACTCCTGATAAATTCTAGGTTTTCGGTGGGACTCAAGGCAAAGTCAACCAGCCCTGGGGGCTGGAGAGGCTGTGTTGACAATGAATGTTAAGAAGTTTTGGAATAGCTGGTCTGAGGAAGAGCATGGGAGCCAAAATGGGATAACTGAAGTATTTATGAGCACTGAAGGGCCAGGTATTAGAACTTCATTTGAAATGCAGTCAAGTGACAGCCAGGTGATGACATTTTTACCAATAGTGCTTAAAAAGAGAGAGACTCAGAACAGACACGAAATGGTCGAATTGATCTTATTTTGGAGGCTAGCAATCCAGTGGCTACAGAAAGAAGACCCAAGTGTAACAGAGAATGTAGGAAAGAGAAAGCAGAAAGGACTCTGTGGATCAGAGAAGGCAGAGAATGGAGAGGGCTGGGGAGGCAGGTAGGGATCATAGAGAGGCCATAGGGAAGGGTTAGTAGGTGGACTAACTGTATGAAAGGAGCCTCACAGGATTCAAGATATCAGAAGCAATGCACTGAGTGATAAAAAGGTCAATGAAATGGATTTCCACGTGAATAAAAATAAAGATCACCCAAGTTAAGAAAGTTTAAAATAGAGTAGCTGTGAGACCTTGGCCAACTCACTGCCTCTCTGAATCTTGATATCCTCATCTGGAAATTGTGGACTACATCCATAAGATAATGTATATATGAAGCACCTAGTCCAATGTCTGGCACACTGGAGGTAGTCACTAAGTCACTGATGATGATGAGCACCACGATTAGGAAAATGTTACAGAGAATGTTGGCAGTAGCCTGGTAGCTACAAAGTAAAGCAAAAGTCAAGGAATGAAGGTAAGTAAATGGCAGTGATGGGGACAAAAGGAGCAGCAGATCACTGGGTGGAGTTTTCAAAGGAGAGGAGAGGCCAAAAGCAGTGTTTAAAACGTCAGAGCACAGTGTTTACCTCTTACCTGTAAAGATTTGGAAGTTACCAGAGAGAAAGCAATTTGCATTTAAGGGGTGAATAAGGGGAATTAGGCTGGAATAGGTCAGCCTTATTTTGTTCACTTTCAAATAGACACGTTTTAATTTTCTCTTTTAGTTTACTGCTTGCGATGGTCTTAATGTTTGTGTTCCCCACTACCTCCAGATTTATGTGTTGAAACCCTAACCTGCAATATGATGGTATTAGGAGGGAGCCTTTGGGAGACAATTAGGTCATAAGAATGGGGACTCCATGAATGGGATCAGTTTTCCTATAACTGGGGCCCAGAGCTCTCTCTCACCTTCACACAACCATGTGAGGATAGAATGTGTGGGAGAGGGGCACCTGGGTGGTGCATTCGGTTAAGCAGCTGACCCTTGGTTTCAGCTCAGGTCATGAGATCAAGCCCCCTGTCAGGCTCTGCACTCAGTTCTTCAATTCTCTCTCCCTTTCCCTCCAGCTTGCTCTCTCTCTCTCTCTCATAAATAAATAAATAAAATCTTTTTTTTAAAAATGCATGGGAGAAAAGGCACAGCAGGGGCACCTGGGTGGCTCAGTCGTTAAGCATCTGCCTTCGGCTCAGGTCGTGATCCCAGAGTCCTGGGATCGAGCCCCACATTGGGCTCCATGTTCTGTGGGAAGCCTGCTTCTCCCTCTCCCACTCCCCCTGCTTGTGTTCCCTCTCTCGCTGTGTCTCTGTGTCAAATAAATAAATAAAATCTTAAAAAAAAAAAAAAGGCACAGCAGGATGCAAAAATATGATCAACTTCTTTATGGCCCACAAACAAATCAAGTCACGGTGGTAGGTCGCTGGCTACAGAGCTGGAAACCAGCAGAGGCAGCCATGTGTTCCATTCCTGAGGGTCTACAGGCCAAAGGCCCCAGGCCGGAAACTGGGGCTGGGATCAGGCTCTCCCACCTGTGAAGGGGGCTGGAAAAGCTGTAACCAACTGCCCTTGGGCCAGGGTTTAGGCAGAGCTGCATCCTTGCCTGAGAAGCCAGCCTGCCGAGCTCACCAAGGGACAGAGCCTGAGTCATGAAGGTCTGTTTCTAGACTGGAGGACCTGGGCTTAGGGGGCGGGGGGGGGGGTGCGGTTCAAGTGGAACCAAGAAGAAAGCCAGTGGATGAGGAAGGGAAATCACAGAGAGAAGGGAGAGAAACAGAAACTCCCATCTAGTGTGAACCTATGAATGAAAATTCTAAAACACACAAGGAACATGAACACCAAGAGAACTAACAAAGCCTCCAACCAGGAGATGGATGCTCACAGGCTGAAATGCAAATAACAAAGCAATCTCACAATGACCTGTCATCTGAGATCTTCAAGGTGAAAACATGAAGAATACCCATAAAAAGGACAAGAAACTATGAAACAAAAATAGGCAGGTCCAAATAAAAACAGATGGCTGTCATAAAGAATGAATTATAAATGCTGGAAATAAAAGACACAGCCATTGAAACCAAAATGGTTGGGGATACATCCCAGAATGGACACAGTTAAAAGAGATTGGAAAATAGCAGGAGGAATTCAGCAACAGGAATTTTTAAAAATGTAAAACAGAAGGTAAGAAATACTGAGGACATGGGCGCCTGGGTAGCTCGGTCGGTTGGGCGGCTGCCTTTGGCTCGGGTCATGATCCCAGGGTGCTGGGATCAAGCCCCACATAGGGCTCCCTGCTCAGCGGTGAGCCAGCTTCTCCCTCTCCCTCTACCTGCCACTCCCCCTGCTTGTGCTCTCTATCTCTCTGTCAAATAAATGAATAAAATTTTTTTTAAAAAAAAGAAAGAAATACTGAGGGCAGATTGAACATAAGTCTAGGGGATGTTACAAAAGGAGAAGTAGGGGAAAGGCAGGTAATATCCAAAAGGATAATGCCTAAGAACTTTCCATCATTGAACAAGCCATCAGCCCTAAGACTGAAAGCACACACTGAGGCCCAAAAGGATAAACTATACGGAGTCCATGTCTAGGTATATTATGGTGAAACTGTAGAACCTCAGGGGAAAAGAAACAAATCTTATAATAATTGGTTTTGTTCTTCAACCACAGAAGCTTTTTAAGCAAAGGATGACATTAGGTAACTAGTATTTTAAGCAGATTCTGGCAGCACTACAAAGCCAGATAGAAGGGACCAGAAAAACGAGGGCAGACGATCAATTAAGCCAGAAGATGCCCTCATGGAGCTTTCCATCTAGTGGGAGGCAATGGCTT